AGAGCCCAGAGGTAACAGAACAGCTTCAGGTTATCGAAATAACAATGTTAAGGAAACTCTTATCTCAGTCATGCATAAATATGCAGTGATATGGCAGAAGACACCAGAGCAGATGCAGAGAGCCATTTTGTGAATGGATTAGATTATTTAACAACATTACTTTACTGTGGAGGAAGGATTGTAAAAAAAAAAAAAATGCCTTTGAGACAGTTTCTTAGCTTTTTAATTGTTGTTTCTTTTTAGTGGTCTTTGTAAGAGTGTAGAAGCATTCCTTCTTTGATAATGTTAAATTTGTAAGTTTCAGGTGACATGTGAAACCTTTTTTAAGATTTTTCTCAAAGTTTTGAAAAGCTATTAGCCAGGATCATGGTGTAATAAGACATAACGTTTTTCTTTAAAAAAAATTTAAGTGCGTGTGTAGAGTTAAGAAGCTGTTGTACATTTATGATTTAATAAAATAATTCTAAAGGAAATTGTGTAATTATAGACTTTTTATTTTAAATAAGTTAAGGAGTGGGTAGTATAATTAAGGTCCATTACAAAGTCATTGTTATATTTGTGTTAAGATAAATGCTGGTCAGATATGAGTGTGTTGTCTGCAATTCATCAGGATTAAATTATCTAGATAACTTAAGGGATATCTCTGCAAGGAGAAACACCTTTTTAGATCTTTTAGATGCTGCTTCTTCAATGCAAGGAAAGGAAATAACCCCAGCGAGGTGTACTCTTCAGGGACACAGGTCTAGTACAAGAGAACTCTTGACGACTACTAAGTTCAGCCAGTCTTAAAAAACTGTGCTGTTTCTACAAAGCTTTAACTACAGTAGTTATAAGGATGCCAACGAAAGCTGAGGGTGTAGAGCAAAATAGTTCTAAGCTTCAGTTAAACTTCTTTAGGTAAGATCTTATTTACTTTTCCTTTCTTAATTTTCCTCCCCAAAAGATAAACTAATACTCTTCTATTTCAGTATAGTGGTTCTTATGTAGTTTAACATAGCTATAAATTGAATTTAACAATTTATAAACTCAAGAATGATTTTGTAAACCCTGTTTTCCAATCTGTCATTTACTTAAATTATTTCGGTTGTTTTTTTCCCTTTTTTTCCTTCTTTCCCATCCCTCCCCCCCCAAAATGAAGATTCAGGTGCTTAACATATCATTTTTTTCCCTGCTGGAATTTTAGCATTGATATGAACCATGGACAAGTATATTCTGCTGCCACAAAGGACTGTAAAGTTCTTCATTTCAACAGCTGAGGCAAGCCAAGTGATCATTAATAAAGCTTTTCTTGGTTCCTTCAGTGGTGTTGGTAGTAAAATGGTAGGTAACAGTTAGGCTGCAAGTTCAATACATCATGAAATTTCCCATCGTTACAACCTTGTGAATTCACATTTCTCGGATCAAGCATTTTGAGTGAACTAAGGGTTTTGTTAATAAAGACATTTTGATCTTCTGTTATTGGATATGGTTTTTCTACCCTTACATGTTGATCAGGATAAAGGAGAAGGTAGGGCAAAACGATTGTCTGAAATTTTCGGATGATCGTGTTTATAAAGTGTCTGAGTACATTATAAATCTGTATGCATCCACCACTAGTTGGGTGTACTTGGTGGTGATCATTTCCCTAGTACCCTACCTATAGGAGAGATGTAGGTTGGCTGCTGAAATTCATTTCTTAAATTAAATGTCTTTGAGGACTTGATTACCTGGCTTTATTGCCTTTTCAGGAATGATAATCAGAGCATATTCTACTGTATTCACCAGTGAGGAGTCTTTGATCCTAAGACCACCACTGAAGTTATTTAGGTTCTTTGAACAAACATGATAAACTTCTTCAGATACTTTTTTTTTCCTTTGGCAGGAAGGTGTCTTGCTGCAGGTAACTAATGAAGAAGTGGTCAACCACAGAGTCTTCAAGAAATAAGAAATTCTGTACCATCTGAAAGTAGTTCTTGTTGGTGCCTTCATTTAAAAAGCACTTTCAAAGATTAAAGGGAAATGTTTTTTGATAAGATAAAATACAAACTTCATTTAGTATAGGTTCTTAACATAAAACAGAAATTGAGTATTGTTTGTAAAATAGTGACAGAGAAATGTATGTTTTAGATTAGGTTTTGTGAGTAGACATAATTCTATTTTAAATATAAAGTATTATAAAATAAATACTTTTGTATCTAAATACTTGGTGTAATGTTTACACATAAAATGTGTGAATCTTGTTCTATAAACAGTTGTCTGAAAGGTTGCCATCCCCTTAATTTTTAAAGCAATTTCACATACCTATGCATACTGCCATTTTCTTTCAATATTAATAGACAAACAAGAAGAGCATTGTGGACATTATTGGCTGTCCCTAATAAAATGCCATTCCTGTATATTCAGCGTTTGAATACTACTATACTTATCTGCCTTTACCTTGTATAACATTGCTGGTGTAGTTTCAAAACCATGGATTTTAATCAGCTAGAGTGGTCCAAATTAACTGGTTTATGCAAATTACTGAGGTGAAAAAAACCTCAAATGTCAGCTCTTCAGTTAATGAAGCAAATCAGAGAAATAACAAATGTGCAGTTTAAGTAAGGTTAAGTGACTTTGTTGTAACTACCATCTGTTTTGGTTTTTACTTCGTTTTGACAAAAGGTAAGTCAAACTGATGATGGAAATAAGGCTAACAAGTCTTAGTTTTGAAGTATTATAAGCTTTTTTCCACTTCAAATAGCTGTTTTTGCCATAGACTACAAAGTTGTTGGGATACTTGGCTGTGTTTGGGGAAAAATAATTTTGAAGGTTTTTAAAAAAAATGACTTGGCTCTACAAATAAGTTTAGCTTTGAAGATGGTAAATCAAGTTTGTATGTAAGAGTAGCATATAATCTCAAAATAACCAGCTCGGATTTAGTGTCTCATCAGTAACGTTAAGGGGGCATCGCAAAGAGGGAAATGAAACACACAATGCAAAAAGGATGTCACTAAAATGTATACCAAGCCACGTTGTCTTCAAAGTAGGCCTTTTGCTCGTGTGTTTTGTTTTGAGCTGTATCTTAGTTTCCTTTAACAAATTTAATGCTAGACTCTGTTGTAATGTTATTTCAGAATAGGGTGTGTTGTATTTTCCTCTTAAGCTTAACCTTCAGCATAATCAAGTATGTTAAAAATCAGAGCAACGAACTCATTACCTATTAGGGAACACAGCTGGATCTGGCCCAGTCTCACAGTTGCAGTCATAGGAAGACTTGACCGGTGCTTAACCATTTTCTTACAAAATTGCGTATTTGTGGGGCTGGTAAGTTGGTGCTGAGTGTTGCCGGACGTACCCAAGAGTGAATGACCGAGGAGAATAAGGAAAAGCTGCAAAAATACAGTATATCTCATCCTTTGTATTCTAACGGTCACACAGTTGTAATCACTAAAAGGCAAGGATAGTTGGGGAGTCATCTTAGAGGGGGGCTGCCACAGTTTGAAAAGTCTCCCCTATTTTGTAGAAGCTTTAGATTGTGCATCGCTATAAAACGACTTTACCATTGCATAAGGTTTTGGTGTATTCTACAGCTAATTTGGGGAGGCTTTAAAAGGGGAATCAATTATCAGTTCAAAAGTATGTGTGTATATGCCTTTATGCAAGGTGGAAGACACTAATTTTGGTACATCCTTGACAATTTTATTCAAATCCAGTTTTTAGGTTTGAAGTTAATGTATGTTGTAGCCAAATGGTGTACTCCACATAATTGTGATGTTGCAAGTTAACACTTGTTAGCTTTTATCCAATTTACTTTTTGGTAACTAAGACCAGAGAGGTAAATGGTTTGCTCAAAAAGGAAGAGACTAAACAATTTGAAGACCTGAGAGAAAAAATGCTGATTTCAGAAGGTACTTAACAGTTAAAATCTGGATCTGGAGCTCAGGCTGACGAGTAGGAACTCCAAATGGTTTTGCTTTGTGCACAGTGCTTGGTGTTTATACATGGCTAATCTCACCTGTGAAAATGGTTCATATATATTCCCAAAAGGAAGTTTTTAATAGGAAATGAAAAAGTGAGGTGTTAACAACATAGTGGGCTTTCTGACCAGATTTCAAATTATACAGTAAGCTTTTGCTTCAAGTCTGAAGGACTATGTTGGGATGGGATCTATTCAAAATGAGAGATGTGGGCCATTCTACTGTAAAGGATAAAAGGGCACATAATAGAAAATGCACCTTAAGGAGGTACACTATATGAACTAATAAAAGTATGCAGTGTAGGGTATGAAAGTAAACCTAGTCTTGGTGTTGTCACGGTTCTTAGTGGGATCTTCAGGTCATTTTCTCTACACCATACCAAATAACAAGAACATATTTTGGGTACCATAGCCCTTTACCCCTTGGATCTTAACACTTTTTTCAGTTTTAGGAAGTTTTAATAAACTGCGTATCTGCTTATCTTTATCCTGGTCAGATTGAGGACTGATTTAAGAAATGGGTCAAACAGCTATGTGAACAGCTTGGTTCAACCCAGTAAAATGCATGGAGCTTCAATTAAAACCTGACCTTTTGATAATTGAGCAGCTCCCTAAAGTGATCTGAAGCTTAGTAGATTCCTTGGTCGTCTTCACACTACACCTCTTCCTCAACTTCATTTTTGTGTAATTACAACTACTGAACTAGGCAAGATGATAATGGGAACAAGTCCTGGCTAACAAGTCTGAAATGGAGTTTTGGGCTAAAACCATGGGAGATTGCCTCACACATCGATGTTGGGGAAAGTAGGTTTATATGGCTTGGAGGGATGATGAGAAAACTAGTCCGTTGTAGAATCATGATTGTGAAGCTGGGTATTGGAATCACTGACCTTTGGCCCCTACACCAAATACTTTCCAGATCACAATTTTATAGTTTAAGCTTCAGTTACCAGGTTATATATTTGTTCATTTGATGCTGTCTTACTGTGGTGTGAGAAGAAAGTGCTGAGTCTGACAGTGCTTGTTGAACAGGAAACTTATCTCTGCTGCAGTGTGCCCTGAAGGCAGTAATTGACACCTGAGATAACTTTCTTGCAACAAGTGATCACTGAGCAAGTATTCAAGACTTTATTACAAAACTCCAGGCTCAAAACAATACCTTGATAACTTATTCTACATCGTAAAGTCTAAGCACTTGATTCTTAACTGCAGATAAACTTCTGACAATAGATTCTGGTAATAGGGAAATTAAACTTATTACTAGATACATTCTTAATGTTCCCCAAAACTTCGCAATTTGGGAACTGTAGTCATACATAGCTATCTTCTGAAAATACATCTTGTTCCAATAAATTTTTGTTTTAAATACTACACTACTAGGATTGCTATTTGATTTTCAAATCCACCTGCTTCTTCTTAACTGTTTCTTTTTGCCCATTTTAAACATTTATAAAGTCTTTCAGATGGTTCCTGTTTCTAGTTCTTGAATTATAAAGTTTGTCATTTGCTGACTGGTATTCTTTGTATAACTTGTAATGTTTTGACAATAAGCTTCAGGAGTTTTTTGGTGAGACCTCTAGACTTCTGTTCCGGGATCTGGGAACATCCCTACCAGCTGGCTTTATGGCTGCCAGGGACCTTACAGGTTTAGTACTCCAGTATGTCGTCTTGCTTGGAATCGCACCACAAGTAGTGGGAATTTGCGGTGGCCATTCCTGACCCATGACTTCAGATGGCAGGTTCCTTGCTGCTTCCTGATGACTATTTAGTTTTTGTTTTATTTCACATTATGGGGGGGGGGAGCGAGTAGGATTTCCCATATCTGTTTGACATACTGTTGACCTCAACTTCCTTTGAGTCTGAAGCAGTATATTTGTAAAAAAAAAATTTTTTTTAATGATCACAGTGCTGCCCTGCTTGCTAGATATTTTCTATTCCTGAATGTGGGTATTTTGGAAGAAAAACATCCAAGGTAAATTTGCTTAGAATTTCTATAAAAGGGAAAAAAGAATTTGACTTCAAATACAAATTTCCACAGTTAAGTGTTCATGAACATTAAATACTTTTGAAAAGCTTTCATTATATTTCAGTGCTAACAGACTAAAAATGTTAAGGCTACTTGCATTTCAAGTCATAAAAAAATGAATACATTTAAAATAATTTAGATGCAATGTTTGCTCTTTCTGAAGTGACCATTTTAATAAAAATGGCTACCAAAGTGATTAGTCATGCCAGGTTTTCATGTTACCCTATTTGAGCATATTATGTATAAACCTTACAGTAGGAGGACTTCATGAAAAAAGGCTTCACCCCCTGCAAATTGTCCAGAAGTCTGACCTTGAAGTTCTCAACTTTTTTTGACCATGTAAGCTTCAAAGTGTAATCTTAACTGGGTGATTAAAGTAGTAGTAATTGAAGATACTTATAACACTTGTTATATTTTATATATAAAATCTCAACCATAGAAGCTAACCTTCAGTTTCAATGGTTTGTGATCCAGCTACCACCAGTTTCTCAGTATTACTACTACATCCATATAATGGAGTCCATCTTCAGTTTCTTCTCTCACTTTTGCTCGTTCCTTTTTGGTTTTCCTTTTTGTGGCCTGAGGTCCCAAGTTCCTTGGGTACGATCAAAACGCTTCCATCATGGCTGCACTGGAGAGCATACTGGTTTGGATTGACTGGCCTACCATGGTCATCTCTTAACCTGCTGAAAACATCATGATAAAGGTCATGTAGTTTCTGTTTCATTATGTTAATAGCTTTGTTACATTGGGCTCCCTCTCTCTTAAGAGTTTCCTTCTTTGCTTGCAAGTTACATATATCATCTTCTAGATTCAAAATTACATCTAACTTGCGTTTACGACAGTTCTGAGCAGCAACTTTATTTTTCCCTCTTCGTCTGATATCACGGATAAGTGATACCTGTAAGTCTGTCAGATAGTACCTGCTTAGCATTCTGTTGAAGGAATCAACAGGCATGCGAACAATTTCTTCCACAGAAAAAGGAATATGAAGAGCTTTAGCACGTCGTTCATCACAGCTTAAGTTTCTATCTGTGCCACTGAGGAATCTACTTCTTATTTTCTCTGACTTCCCAGGCCATGAAAAAGATTCAGAAGTGGATTCTGGTACAGTTGGCTGTAAATGGTAAGTATGGTTATGAAATATGTGCTGAAATGCAACTTCCTCATCAAAACCAGAATCATTCCTGTGATCCATGTGACAAAGCTTACTAGGCTCTGGGGAGCAGCCTCCTACAGCTCCTTCTAAGTCATGATGGGAAAAAGATTCAAGGTCACTACTATAGCCTGTAGCCCCTTCTTCATCATACACGGAGTGGGAGGAATTAGACTTGGTGATTGAGGTACTGCAGTGACTTGAATTTAAGGAAAGTCCAGAATCAGAATCTGGTTCTTCAAAAAGCTGAGAAACTTCCATTGGATCAAAACCTTCTTCCATGGCCAAAGACATCAAATTTATCTCATCAAATACGTTTACATCAAGGTCACATAGAAGATCTTGGCTTGTTACATTCCTCATCTGATTGTCAGCAGGTGAAAGAAATCCTGTCAAATTAGTTCCAGAAAGAGTCTGCTCAGGATTGGTAGGAGAATTTAACTGCAGAAATGGTTCTTGTGGCTGAGAAGTCCTTGCTACTGGATCTCTTCTAAATCTATTGCTGGGACACAGCAACATGGCCTCGTGGAGACTCACATTGTGGCTTATAGCCTGGCTAAAATTTACATTATAATGTGCTGAGAAGTTCATGCCATCATTGCTACTGCCTGGAAGAAGAGGAATATCTCCCAGTGAGGTGCCCTGAAAAAGGAGGGAAAAAAAGCACTTTAAACATAGGTAACCCTATTATATAACACTTTTCTCCCGAACTAATAGGAACGGCTATGCCCTTGGCTATGAATCACTTTCCTTAAATACAGGCAATACAGTATGTGATATGAGCCCAAATAAGAATATGCTAAACTTAGGAAAATAATTGTTCTTTGACTATCCTGAAGATTTAGAAAACTTGATCAGGTGAGTATAAAAAACTAGTCTCACTTTGCTATTAAGTAACAAGTGGAATGAATGGCTCAATATTGCTAAGATGTCAATTCTCTCTAAATTCATCTATAGATCAGCAGAATACCAATCATAATCTCAGCAAGCTTTATTGCAGAAATATTTTCAGTTTACTTCTTTGTCAGGGGTCAGCAAAATTTCTTTAAAAGGACAGACAGTATTTTAGGCTTTATGGGTCATAAGGTTTCTGTTGCAGCTAGTCAGCTCTGTTGTGGCATGAAAGCAGTCATAGATGATACGTAAAAGAATGACTGTGACTGTTTCAGTAAAACTTTACAAAGACAGCAGGCCTTAGTTTGCACACCCTTGTCCGTTCTAATAGATCATCAAAATATCAAGATTAGGAGTTGTTCTGGGATAAAATCTAATTATTCTGATATTTATAAAGTCTTTTACTTGAAGGGTTTTCTATTAAATTACTAAACTAGCTTGGGTATGAAGTCCTGCCATATTTCTCCCAGAGTGTTATTCTGTGGCACTTTTGTCAGGAAGAACAACTAGCATGCACACAAAATCTAAAAATATCAGTCTAAATCCATCAAAATCTCACTCTGTAATAAACTAAAATGAAGACATAAACGCTACCAGAAAAATAAAGCTATACTTTAGTATGTCAAACGTTTACTGCTATTGTGCTTCAATACGAATGGCCTAGATTGGATTATACCTTTGTGAATATTATTTGGAAGGAGGAAAAGGTATAAATATTTGGTTAGGTCTCCATTTTCTACGAAAAGTAATGCCAAGTCTATATGCTTAAATAATAATGCACTTGATGTAATAAGTATTAGTTTAAACCGCTATGTCATCAAAGTAAAAGTATTTATTCAGAGAGGTCAGTGCAGATGTGTTCCCATAAGGATAACAGCCAAGGTTCCAATTACCTCCAGGGAATTTTCAGGCTGTGATGAAAGCAATTGAAATAAATCTTCTAGACAAGAAGATGTGTCTGTCCCATTTAGATGTCTCTGTAAAAGAACACAAAAGGCATATCATTCTTCAGATAAATTACTTAATCTTTAAAGATAACCAGATCTTACCTCCCTGCTAGATTTTTATCCCTATTTTTTTTCTCCGAAGTTTTACATTCTGTTTCTCTTATTTTAGTACTCTTAATATTTTAACATGCATAGTTAAAGTCCGAAGTTATTCTCTCTACCTCCTTCCTAAACAAGGACCTTAATTCCAGACGACTCCTCATTCACTCCTACTCTAACCTTCCACATAATTTTTGGGTAGTATTTTTAGTTCCACTGTATTTTGCTCCTCCACAGATGCCTCTCCCAATTGGTTACAAAACTGTGATTTTTTTTAGTCAATACTTACTAGTTGTTGGGTGCTGTTGAGTCAGTTCTGACTCATAGCATGTGACAGAGAACTGCCCAATAGTATTTTCTCAGTTGTAGTATTTACAGAAGCACATTGCCAGGTCTGTCTCCCGCAGAGCCACTGGGTGAGTATGAACTGTCAACCTTTTGGTTAGCAGCCCAGAGCTTAGCCAAAATGTCTTACCAACTTCTTTACTCATCATTGCTTCTTACATTTCACTCCTGCTTCACACATTAGTTTCTTGTTGAACTAACTTTTTTATAATTCTTTTTAGAGAGGGTCTCATGGCGACCTTATGTATAACAGAATGAAACATTGCCTGGTCCTGTGCCATCCTCAGAATCATTGCTATTTTGAGCCCATTATTGCAGCCACTGTGTCAATCCACCTCATTGAGGGTCTCCCTCTTTTGCGCTGACCCTCCACCAAGCGTGATGTCTTTCTCCAGTGATTAATCATCCCTCCTGATGACATGTCCAAAGTAAGCGAGACTAAGTCTCACCATTCTCACTTCTAAAGAGCATTCTGGCTGTACTTACTCTAAGACAGGTTTGTTTGTTCTTCTGGCAGTCTACAGTATATTTAATATTCTTAGCCAACACCACAACTCAAATGCATCAATTCTTCGGTTTTCCTTTTTCACTGTCCGGCTTTCGTGTGCATATCATGCAACTTGAAAAGACCATAGCTTGGGTTAGGCACATCTTAGTCATCAAAGTGACATCTTTGCTTTTTCACACTTTAAAGAGGTCTTTTGCAGATTTGCCAATATCATACGTCTTTGGATTTCTTGACTGCTGCTTCCATGAGCACTGACTGCTGATCCAAGAAGAATTAAATCCTTGACAATTTCAATTTCTTTGCTATTTATCATGTTATTTACTGGTCCAGTTTTAAGGATTTTCATTTTCTTTATGTTGAGATATAATCCATACTGAAGGCTGTAGTCTTCTACCTTCATCAGTTGAGTGCTTCAAGTCCTCTTTACTTTCGGCAAGCAAGGTTGTGTCATCTGCATATCTCAGGTTGTTAATTGGAGTCTTCCTCCAATCCTGATGCTGGATTCTTCATATAGCCCACCCAGCTTGTTGGATTATTTGTTCAGCATATAGATTGAATAAGTAATGTGAACAAATACAATCCAGCTACATACCTTTTCCAATTTTAAACCATGCAGTATCTCCTTGTTCAAATGATTGCCTCTTGATCCAAGTACAGGTTCCGCATGACGGGCTGACTGAGGAGGGCCAAGGCACTCCACTTTCTATCCTCTGAGGATGTTCAAGGCACAGCACCCAAACCTCACCTCCCAGGGAGGTGGCGTGCTGAAGGAGGCCATGGCTGAGACCACTCCCTGGGCCAGACTTCAAAGGTGTGCTTTCCACGTGGAAGTGTGTCCATGGGACCCTAGGCCTGTCTCTGGAACACTTTTGGACAGGCTTGTTGGATGGCAGAGTGTGGCCGGGTGAAAAAAGAGGGACGCACAGGCTGTAAGAAGAATCCATCTGTGTATCAGTTTTCTGTGGCTGCTGTAACAAAGCGCCACAAACTTGGTGACTTAAAACAACAGAAAGTCATTCTCTCACACTTTGGAGGCCATAAGTCCAAAATCCAGGCATCGGCAGGAACACATTCCCTCTGAAGGCTCTAGGGGAGAATCCTTCCTTTCTTCTTCTTCCAGTTTCTGGTGGCTGCTGGCATTCCTTGGCTTTCTAGGCTTTGGCCACATCACTCCAATCTCTGCTTCCATCTTTACGTCCTCTTCTCTGTGTATCTCAAATCTTCCTTTGCCTTCCTCTTACAAGGATGTTTGTCATTGGATTTAGGGCCCATCCTGATAATCCAGGATGATCTCATCTCAAGATCCTTAATCATACTGGCAGAGACTTTCCCCCCCAAATAAAGTCACATTCACAGGTTCCAAGTGGACATATCTTTGTGGGGAGGGGGGTACCATTCAACCCAAGGAGCCCTGGTGGTGCCAACAGTTAAGCACTCAGTTTCTAACCAGAGGGTTGTCAGTTCAAACCCACCCAGCCACTCTGTGGGAGGAAGACCTAGCAATCTGCTTCTGTAAAGATTACTGCCAAGAAAACCATGTGGGGCAGCTCTACTCTGTCACACGGGGTTGCTATGAGTTGGAATCAACTTGACAGCACACAACAACAACCATTCAACCCTTAAAGCCTGAAGTTCATCTTTCTATGCCTCTTTTCACCACTGAATAGGGAGGTAAGACATTGAGGGGCCAAGAAGGTGGTCTTTGACCTTAGTCTAGGCCAGAGGTACAAAATGGGCTCCTGGATACCCAATGGTTTATTTTAGCTTGGCCAACTGGGAGACTGAGTGAGGATCTGGGCCCAAGCCCCAGATGTTGCCTGTAGGGTCTCTGCTCACACCCCTGGACCTGGCCATCCTGGCTGCTCCTGCAGGTAGCTGGCTGAGGATTCCTGGGCTTGGGATGCTAGTCATTTCTTTATCGCTTGCCATGGCAAACACAACTCACAAAACCTTCCAGCAAGTTCCTGGAGATATATATAACTTGAGTTTAACTGGGGATAATTAATTCTATGGACTGAATCCTTCGTAAACCAAATAACCTCTCCTACATGTATAACAAAATACGTATTTTCATATATCAAAATTTGCTTATAGTAGAGCACACTTATGCAAAATTCATTCTCAACACAAATTGTCAAAGCCACAAAATCTATGCTAAAGTCAAAGTGGCAGGACTAAAATATTCCATGCTTACCTCATTTCTAGAGTCAGTGGTCTTTTCTGATTCCCAGTCAGGTTTATTTGCTATGTTATTTTCATCTTCATTATTCTGCTGTAGTGATTCCTCCTGAGCTGACACCCGTTGCTCATTTTCCTCATGCTGGGAACTGTAACCGACAGCAGCTTCAAGCCTCTCTCTCAGTACCTGAATCTCCTATAAAAGCACAGAAAAAAATACTAACTAGAAATCCATATTTCATCAAATAAGTCAAACAGCCTTTAAAACTGCACAGTACTTACTGCTCAGTGATTATGAAAACCAAGTCTAAAGCTAAGACAAGCATTTAATTAATTCAGTACCAAAGAAACATCTAGCTCTGAAACAAAAGGTCAGTTTTATATCCTGACCTTGTTAAGTACTCACTGAGACAGGTCATTCTAATCTGCATAATTTAAATTATATGCACTTATAAGACATCTAAATTTAGAATACTTATAAAATTGATTAGATTTGGACATCAATGTTGCCAGCAGGCAGTTTTTATTTAGTTTTCTCCTGAAAATATATCAAACCCCTAAGTTGGAAGAAAACACAGAATATACATAGAAAAATCTGGAAGGTATTATTACAATCTATTGTGGTTCTCTCTGGAAGGTGGGATGGGTATGGGCAGTGTAAATACAAAGAGTAGGCTTCCACTTTCTGCACTTCTGTCTTGTTGCAGTACTTTACAACAACGATGTATTCCTTTTATGGTCAGGAAAAAGATACATTTTTATTTTGAAAAAAATGAACACCAAAGCTTTAACATCTCCACAGATATTTTCACCAACCATGCTAAGTGACCCAGATGACTTCTTTTACCTTTTAATTTACTTCAACTGAAGAGAGACTTAAGTAATTAAAAGGCTAGGGAAGTATTCTAGACACTCAAATAGTCACTATTGAGCATGCATATACTGATATATTCAATTATGATATTAAAAGCTCTGTGTGAAATTGTTTCTTTTCCCCCCTCTAATACTGAGGCTTCTCAAACTCTTTCGAAGGATCTATTTTTACTTTCTGACTTCAGCACCACTCTGCAGTGGACCAACTCAAGGACAGCAATGCTCCTGCTACTCTAACCACAGAAACGCTAACCTTACAAAAAAAAATGAAGGTCAAAAGAAATGGAAATCTAGATGCCAGAAGTAAAGAGGGAATCAAAGCAAAAGAGGAGAAAGGCAGCTGACGTCCTGGTGGCCCACCGGGTTTTTTACTTGTTTCTCAGTTAGATAGATTGTACCTAACTCGGATGCAAGGGCAGTGGTGGTCCAGGGGTAGAATTCTCACTTTTCATGAGGGAGACCCAGGTTTGATTCCCGGCCACTGCACCTCATGTACAGCCCCCACCTGTCTGTCAGTGGAGGCTTGAGTGTTGCTATGGTGCTGAGCAGGTTCAGTAGAGCTTCCAGACTAACACCAACTAGAAAGAAAGGCCTGGTGATCTACTTCTGAAAATCAGCCAGTGAAAACTCTATGGATCACAATGCTATTATAATCCCCAACCAACATGGGGATGGGGGCAGCACTGGGCTGCGTTTCATTCCATTGTGCATGGGGTCCCCATAAAGGGGTGGGGTGTGACTAGATGGCAGCTAACAAGCAGAACTCTATGACACACGTGGCCTTCCCTCATGATGCTGTGGATGACTGTCTTGTTCCAAGCTCAATCCATCTCTCCCATTTGTGCACTGGATCCCAGCCCAACTGCTCTACCCTCTTTTCTGCACCAACAATTGTTTCCTCTGTTGGATAACTCCCATCAGCCTACTAATACCTACAACAGTATCTCCCATCTTTAAAAACTCCTCTGTTGGTTCTGCTTTTCTCTTTGGATCCTGTTCCACTTTTCTGCTCCCCTTCCGAGCAACATTCTCCAAAGAGTTACCTGGATTCAGCGTATTCTCTCTTGAACCTATTCCCATGAGGATTTGTTCCCACCACCCCTCTGAGGCAGCTCGTCAAGCTCCCCACGATCTTTACCTCACGAAATCCTCATCTTACTCTACCTATCAGCAGCATTTGTCTTAGGTTCCTCCCTCTTCCTGAGAAGTCTTCACCTGGCATCCACGTACCCCTCTCTTTAATATTCTTCTCCTACCTCACCCATCACTTCTTTGCTGATTCTTCATTTTCCTGATTTCTGCACATGGCAGTGCTCTAAAGCTCAGTCCTCAGGGCCCTCCAAGCTCTCGCCCACCTCTTGGCCTTTGTATCTGCTGTTCCCTCTGCCTGTAAGGGTCTCCTCTGCACCCCTCCTCCCCTTTCTGGCTTCCTTCAGGTCTCTATCCAACCATGACAATCTCAGTTTCTTAACCACTCTGTATACAATAGCATTTCTCCCATCAACACCCATCTTCCTTATCTTGCTTTATTTTTTTCCACAGCATTTAGCACTGACTCATCTATTACCATATTTATTTGTTTGCTGTATGTCTCACTAACCTGTTGCCATAGAGTCAATTCCAACTCACAGCGACCCTATGAGACAGAGTAGAACTGCCTCATAGGGTTTCCAAGGAGTGGCTGGTGGATTTGAACTGCCAACCTTTTGGTTAGCAGCTGAACTCTTAACTACTGTGCCACCAGGGCTCCGTATGTCCCGCTAGAATGTTAAATTTCTTGAGGGCAATGACTGCTGTGTTCACTGCTGCATGCCCACTGCCTACCACAGGGCCTGGCATGTGACAGACCCTTAGTAAATTGTGTAGAATGGATGAACTCCTAGAAACAACACCAAAAGACTTTGGTAGGGATCCTACTTCTGATGGGATGAGGATACCATAGTCTTGTTCTTTTCTGCAATTACAGTGCTGACTCCTACCTAGATTTGGTAAAGGAAGGAAAAGGGAACCACTCTTCGTACTTCACCTTTTTTTGCCACGGCGAAATTTCTTTAAAAATTTTAAACCTGAAGATAATCAAATTTTAAATTCTGGAATCCTGAGGCAGCTAATTTTGTTTGCAAATTTGCTTTTGGTGGGCAGAGGAACTTTTGATCTCCGTATCACATGATCTAGCTTAGAGCCATGAAGCAAGACCCCCTGAAGTAATCTGCATTACATGAGTTAATGCAACACACATGAACTTGTACACGCAAGAATTCGTTACCTGTAACTTTACACAAATAAGCAACAGAAAGATCCAAGTGGCTCACACAGGACGAGCGCGAACCCACAAGGAAATTGAGCAAGTAAACATCGGCCTGGGAAGGTATTATTGTCGGAAAATTTTTAGTATATAATGAAGTCTGGGGGAATCCCTGGGTGGCGCAAATGGTTAACTGCTGGACTACTAACCAAAAGATTGGTGGTTCAAAACCACTCAGAGTCACCTTGGAAGTAAGAACTGGTGATCTGCTTCCAAAGGTCACAGCCTTGAAAACCCTATGGAGTAGTTCTACTCTGCACACGCCATGAGTTGGAATCAATTTGTCAGCAACTAACAACAACAATGAAGTTTGGTAATGAAGGTATGTAAGATGGTCTGCCTAAAAACTCAGGAAGAGGAGGGCTGAAGGTATCAGGGGAATTATGTACGACCAGAGTATACCAGGCCTTTCCTCCTGTGGGGATTCTGGGGGTTCGAACCATCAACCTTTCAGTTAGCAGATGAGTGCTTAACCATGGCGCCACCAGTGCTCCTTTTATATTAACGCTAAATTTCCTAATTACTGGCTATAGAAAAGAAAATCCTTGTTCTTAGGAAATACACACAAAGTATTTAGGGATCAAGGGACACAATAGCTCTGATCCACTCGTAAATGTTTCACTACAAAAAGATTTACATATATGTGTGTGTGTGGCGTAGTGGTTAAGAGCGTGACTGCTAACCAAAAGGCTGGCAGTTCGAACCCCCAGTGGAAGTTTGAGTCCACCAGCCATTCCTTGAAACCCTGTGGGGCAGTTCTACTCTTTCCTGTAGGGTCGCTATGAGTTGGAATTCACTGGGTTTGGTTGTTTTGTATTTTTTATTGTTGTAGTTTAAATGAAGTTTACATTTCAAGTTAGTCTCCAATACAAAAATTTATACATTCATCGTTATGTGACCTTAATTGCTCTCGCCTTAGTGGGACGGCACACTCCTCCTTTCCACCTGATTTCCCATGTCCATTCGACCAGCTCCTAACCCTCTCTGCCTTCCCATCTCACCTCCGGACAGAAGGTGCCCATTTAGTCTCTTGTATCTACTTGAGCTAAGAGGCTCACTCCTCACAAGTTCCCTTTATGTCCCACTGTCCAGTCCAATCCCTGTCTAAAGAGTTGACCTCAGAAATTGTTTTAGTTCTGGGCTGAGAGAGAATCCTGGGGCCATGCTTTCTGGGGTTCCTCCAGTCTCAGTCTGATGATGAAGTCTGGTCTTCTTACTAGAATCTGAGTTGCCACCTTTCTCCTGCTCCATCAGGGATTCTCTGTTGTGTTTCCTGTCAGGGCGGTCATCGGTGATACCCGGGCACCATCTAGTTCTTCTGGTCTCAGGCTGATGAAGTCTCTGGTTTATGTGGCCCATTCTGTCTCTTGGGCTAATACTTTGTGTCTTTGGTGTTCTTCATTCTCCTTTACTCCAGGTGGTTGGGACCAATCAATGCATCTTAGATGGCCGCTTGCAAGCTT